AGTTTCATGGTCTATTCCACAGTACTTCGGACATCCACATTGGGTGCATCACAGTGTCGCTCCCTCAGTTTGTCATCAATATTCTGTGCAAAATTCTTCAATGTCCGACTTGCAGAATATGTTGGCAAATGGGCAGTGCAGTGCGTTGTTATGGGTGGGCATGCCTGACGTGGCTTTGTCAGTCATGAAACACACCACACAAGAGCCCTTCAACATGTTGATGAACAGAGTGACCTCAAATAGATGTTCATCGATGTTGATGCATGATATGAGGTAGCGATCCAGCATCTTCCAGTCAGATGAAAGCTGAAACAAAGATCTGGTCTCCATGGCAGGATCAGGATCTCCTTCATCCTGCCTTGGCATCACAGATGCTTTCTTGACCACTGTGAAGGGATTATTGGGCTGAGACGCAGTCAATGATGGGCTAGGAGTAGGAAGGATGGGTGCATTCAAGACACCTATTTGATTAACCGATCATTAGTGTGTTGATGACATTGACAAATGCTGTGCTCACCATCCTCATGCACTGACATCTGGCTGACATGCTCACTCGACGATGGGTGAATTAATCCTTCAGTGTTCACCCTTGCACTCTCCAATCCATCTTCAATCGCCTTGAAGCGATTAGCCCATTGTAATGCCGTCAATATTTTGCTAGACATAGGTGACATGGAACCATCTATTTTGTAATGATATCGTAAGTGTTCGAATGACATCGCAGTGCGTTGTGCTCACTGTCCTGCCAATGATGCTTATGACCATAGCACTCCTTCCCCAGTGAGTTGAACACCTTTGTTCCAACATCAGATGTGTCGCCACCTGCATGAACTTTTGTGTTATGCTGACCAAAGGGTAAATTAATTATTTTCTCGCCAGGGCTGCTATGATAGACTTACTACGTCAGAAAAATGCTCACAGCAGTGCTCAAGCATCAGCCTGAGAAAAAGAATGGCCCTGCACATCGCAACTGGGCACATGTAGCCTTTGTTGTGCACCTGGAGGACGTCAAAGGTCTCGTCTGCGATGAAGGTTGGTTGGTTATCGCATGATGAGATTGTTACTTACAAAATGTGCTCATCTTCAGAATTTTTGCATCTTGGTGAGTTACGCAATGAGACTGAACTTGCTCCACCATCTGAAAGCTGATGCCACAGTAGGGGCATATGACAGTAGGTGCAGAGTGAGTCAGCATTGGGTTGCAGTGCAGTCACGATGAGCCAGTTGAGGATGGGGATTGACAAGAGGAGTGTGGGCTTTCTTCTCTGGCATAGGAGAATTGCATGGATGTGCCATAGACTGAATGGCACTTCGTTGTTCCAATGGTCCATTGAATTAATCAATTGTCCATGATTCTTGAAACGATTGCTTTCATCTGTCAATTGCTTTGCTCGACTTGGACGACATTGACAATGAGACATCAAATATTGCTTGATGTAGTCAACACGACATCATAAAGGATCGTCTCTCACTGTCCACGCACTCCTCGATTAGGAAGTTGCTTTGACATCTTGCATCAATAATGATCTCTCGTTGTGTGCTCACTTCCTAATCAGGGAGCGATTGTGACATGTTGTGATAAATTGCCTGAAAAGCTGTCTGCCCACACCGGTTCATTGATTCCTCCAGTGGCCTAACTGTCAGTTCAGGTTACAGTGTAACTATCTTAAAAATTGAGCAGCTGTGAGGAAATTGCACTGAGAGGTCGATAAATGATATTCCCCGAGCGGAGAATATTCTGGTCGTGCTTGAGATGCCTTGACCAGCAAATCTGTTGATCACATTGGAAATGCCAAGTTTAGGGGGTGACAACATACATTTAAAATACAACACTGACAGGTCATTGAATGATATTCCCTGAGCGGGGAATATGACGATACTGACAGGTCAGTAAATTGAGCGGGGAATATGGCGATACTGACAGGTCAGTAAATGATATGCCAATACTGACAGGTCATTAAATGATATTCCCCGAGCAGGGAATATTCTGGTCATGCTTGAGATGCCCTGTCCGGGCAGTGTGTCAGTCACATTGAAAATGCTAAGTTTAGGAAGTGACAACATACGTTCAAAATACGACACTGACAGGTCAGTAAATTATATTCTCCGAGCGGGAAATATGCCGGCCATAAATATATCTGACCTTGCAATTATCACTGGCAAGAGCCACATATGTCGTTCATACTTGAGATGTTTAGTAAATCAATTCAGTCAAATATAATAGGACAAAAACTTGCCTTTCAAGTGAATCAATGCAATATCTGACACATCAACATCTGCTTGTTCTCATGCCAGTCACAAAAGAGACATAGCGTAACCCAGTGAATATGGACATTGGCACCACTTCAACCCTATAAAACAGTCCACACATGATGAATATCATCAATATAAAATTTGTGCAAGAAACAAATACCTAGATCACGCACATATACTGACACGTTATGTTTTCTTATTCCCCGCTTGGGGAATAACTGCTCCAGTGCCTTCTCAAGTATAGAAAGCTCAACTCGATTAAAAATGGTGACAGGCATTTTCATTTCGAGGAAAATGTCAAACAGTGAAACAAGATGAATTC